AGAGTATGACAGTATCAAAGAGCAGGCAAAAAGCAAACAGTGTTGGAATTATGAAAAAAATAATTTCTATATTCTGTTTGAATTTTTTTTTTAAGAAAGCTGTGCCAAAATATGAGTTGTGCTGAATCTCAATGTAACTAAAGGAAAAGAGGTGGGGCTACAAGAACAGCAATTATTGCAAGATAGATTTTTCTTACTTATGCTTATCGGACAAAATGATAGGAAATCTGTGAGTGGATTTCCCAGGGACTATTTAGGGTTATGCTGGGAAAGACTGAAGGTAAAAGAAGAAGAGGACAGCAAAGGACAGTGTTATTGATTTAACGAACATGAAATTAAGCAAATTCCGGAGGATGACGAAAGACAGGAGGGCCTGGCATGATGTGGTCCATGGGTTTACGAAAAGTCGGACTAAACTGTGCAACTCAACAACAACAGCAACAACAAATAGTTTCAGAGGAGCAATTTCATGGCTGTGCAACTAGAGAGTTGTGTGGTGTGGTGTGTGTGTGTGTGTGTGAACCTTTGCCTTCCACAACATTTTCTCAGTTGCTTCTTGGACCTGTGGTTTTGCCCTATGGAGAATTCATGCAGGCATGTGAATGGAGAAGATAGCAGGTCTGGAGAAATAATTTCATAGGAGAATGGTTTGGGTCCTCTAGAGCTTCAGCCCTCATCCAGATTGAATCCAGCTGCATTTTAATTATTGCAGTCCTAATACATTGCAGGATTCATAAATTATTTCTGTCCTTGGGTCTGTGTGCGTTTGAATGCTTGTGAATCTGTGTGTCTCACGCTCCCATCACTGTTGCTATGGAAGTTTTCTAAGCAGACCACTCTCCATAAACTCACTTTTTGACCAAAGCCTTATAACTTATTTATTAAATTACAAGACACTTTAGTTTTAAAAGACTCAAGGTTTATTTGTTTATGGGGACCCAAAGCAGCTTACAATATTTTCTTGTCCTTCATTTGATTCTCACAACAGCGACCTTAGGCCGGGAGAGAGTGACTGGCCCAAGATCACCCAGCAATTTTCTGTGGCAGAATAAGGATTTGAACGTGGGTCTCCCGGATCCTAGTCACACCACAAAAAGTGTAACATAGTGCAAAAAACAGTTTTTGTCTGTATTTATTTGATTATAGTATGCCTATACCCTGAGCTCAAAATTTGAGTCTTGTTTTGATATTGTAGTAGCAATTACTTTGATCTTGTGTGTACAAATATAACATCCGAACTGGGTAATCAGAAGTACCGTAAGGTGAGGTACAAGCAACAGCCACGCCTGTGGATAGCGGTTTTTACAATCCAGTAGTTAGAAGGAAACCAAATGTGAAAGCCAAAATGTGAAATTAATAGTTCGATTCAGTATTCAATTAATTAGATGTCCCAAATGGATGACAAGTGGGACAGATTGCTGCACTGGGAGAAATCGTTCAGGCAGGACTTTTGTATTAAAGCAACTTGATGCATTTCACATTTTATTCTGAAATATTCTGCCTTGATTTTTCTGCAACAGGAAGGCCCAGCCATAGTGAGAGAGGAACATGTATTAAGCTTTCTGGTGCTGCTGTTTGACTGTCCCTGGTGTGGTATCACTTCACAGGCATAGTATAAATTGCATTTTGTGGATACCGGAGGTGGGGTTTTTTCCCCCCTCCTGGCCTTTTCAGATTGATTTTATACACCCCCTGCCCCCAAAAGCTACAATTGAGGAATGTGAGTGGAGTGACGGTGATGTGGCTTGGCCAGGTTGATCTGTAAAAGGAAAACAAAATGTATGATCACTTCCATAACAGGGAATGAAGGGATGAAAGTAAATGTGATTTCAGCTGCTTGAGTGGCTATGAGAGAACGGCTTTCCTTCTGATCAGAATCAGCTCTTCATTCTATGAAAATACTTATAAAGTTAACCACAAGATGGCAGCATTGAAGTGCAATACAATCTCCTAATCTGTTCTGGAATTTTTGCTCCTTTTATTAAAAAAAAGTGAAGAATGGTTGAATTAGTGACATAATTAATGCCGGCCCTTCTAATGGATGAAGAACATGTAATTAGCCTCTGAAGAAATGAGGAAGTGGAGCTCATAACATGAGTTACTGTACCAGTCACTGGTATATCTCTGGATGTATGCATCTCTATCAATAGAAAGTGCATTTGTGTGAAACATGGCTTGAAACTCACAGTTATTAAAACAGGCAAAAATGGCAGCTGATCCCAATGTTTGACTCATCTCAATGTGAGGTCTTTGCTTTTGGCATTTTGTGCGTTTGGTTATTTTGTTGCTGACATCTAATAAGTATTCCTCAAAATTGCTGAGAACTTGAAGAGTTACTTATTGCTTCCATTTTCTTGTTTCTTCCCTATTTTTCTTTGCATTTCTTTCAGTATTCGTTTCCTTTCCAATTAATTCTAATGGAAGCCTTTAAAAACTGTTTACTATTTGAACAGATACAAAGCAACTGAAATGAAATGTTAGCTTATATACAGCTTAAAATGTTTCAGTTTTCAGTTTCATTGAATTGTGTGCATCGTTATCTATCATTTTCAAATGTTGTTCTTTGGGCTTGTTCTAGGTTTGCAGTTAATTAGGCCTTGAATTTTTATAATAATGGTTAGAATTTATGTAGCCATTTTCCTAAGTGTTTTGGACAACCCTTACAGCAGTTGGCCAGTGATCTATAAATTACAATTTTCAGGACCTGAGGGTGCAAGGTAGGGCCATGCATGGCGTTTTTGGTGATTGAATTTTGAGCCAAGGACTCTTTAGCCCATAGCTAAGGTGCTTAATATTACCATCCTAAACAGTTTCTCCATTCAAAGACAATTGACTTCAATAGGAATGTGTAACTCTTAGCATGGCAGTCAGCTATTACACCAGTTCATGTGTCATTTCCTTCTTACTGTACTGATGATGATGATGATTAAGAATTTCAATTATAGCCCACCATTTTCACTGAGATTCAAGACAGATTACAAAATATGAAAAGTAATTCACTCAAAAAGCAAAGACCTCCAGTAAACAATGCAGTAGTACTTAGGTTTACAAAACTCGAAAACAATGCAAACAAAAACCAGTCTAAGGCATGATTATCTTCATAAGATTTTATTTTATTTAGTTAAATATTTAAAACATTTAATAGCCACCTTTCTTCCTTACAGAGCTCAAGGCAGCTTATAAAATAGATAGCATGCATTAAAATGCATTAAAAATATAAAAACCAAAATTTAAAATCACAATTCAGGACTGCTAGTAAACATAACCAAATGCAGTCCTAAATCAACCTTCTTCAACTGCCTCCTAAAGATGTCGGTTGTTAAAGGTCAAAACCTGCACTTTGAATTGGGCTTGGGAGTAGCCTGGTGAATTTCAGTAAAATATATTTTGTGAATAGTGATAAAAAAGAAGGAAATGCATAGATGCTAAAGCACCATCCTAGTATCTTTCTCTTGGATTGTGATGTTACTTCTAATTTCCCCTGTGCATTTAGCCACTATAAATTTACCCCTTTGTTTCAGTGAAGTCAAGCCAAAGATACATGGTGCAATCAGAGATTTCTCCTCCTAAATCCATTGAAGATAATGGGTTTAGAGGAGTGTAACTCTGTTCAGGATAGTGTTTGAGTGTTCCCTTTGTTGCTTTTTACGTTGTAGGGTAATAGCTAGTATTTCTGAACAGATGTTGTCACCATTTTTGACTTGGGTGAAGAAATTTGTTTTTGTATTTAAGTTTTAAGGAAGCCACCAGATGTCCCTGAGGAGGTTGTTGTTTCTTCCACAGTTCTTGTTCCTTAAAATACTGATAATAGTATTGGCAAAGCTTACTGGATTGCTCTAAAGCTTGGAAGATAATGCTTGTGAAATGTTTTGGACATCCTTCAGGATGAGAGATTTTACCCAAAATAGTGATTTTGCTTTCTTGGCAATGAGTTCTCTGACACTACCTTGGTCCCTTGCTTACTGTTAACCCTAGCCTGCAATATGGGACCCATTTTTACTATTAGTACTTTAAATCTTACCTGATTTTAGGGCCATTGTTCAAGGAAGTTTATTGGTGTGATTAAGTTCCCCTAGATTGGGATACCCGTTTATCCTTCTTCCTCGTTCTCTTCTCCCCTCTCCTCTCTATCCCTGTTCTATTTCCTTTTCTCTCCTAAAGATAGATATGGCACCACTGGTACAATCCATTTTGAGTAAGGTCATGGCATAGTCCACGTGACTTCTCATCACTATTTGTAGTAGATTACTTCTATGAAATTTTGGTGCTGTAACGCTCTTGAGCAGAATGGAATTGCCCTCAAATGCATTACTACAGCTTTTATGGGTTATTTAACCTTTTGGCTGAGTCAATAAACAGCAGGCAGTTTCACTTTGCCCAGCTTATTCTAAAGCAATTGCTTATCTCAGTTTAAGATCTTCTTCCTATCCTAGCACTGTGTGTGAAGTCTGTACAACTGGGCCTCCTAATATTGTATTTCTAATCATCACATTGGTGACCTCATGATTAAATCATGAAAAGGACAGGCAGCTTTCTAATCAATGATAATGGAAGCAAAATTTGTAATGAAAATGTATGATTGTTGCTTTATAATAATCATTGCACATAGAAATTGTCACTTTTTTCTGGGTAAATGGCATTGTCTATTGTGTACTTAACAGGTACATACATAACTTCAGAGGCATAAGATGCATAAATACGAATCTAAGCATACTGTACTATAAGTATCTGCACTGTACTGTACAGTATCTAAGCATACTGTCGTACTAAGACAGGAAATTAATAATACTTGTAAAAATTAAGGGTTAAAATATTTTTTCCAAATAATAGACCAGTGGATTCATTTTCTGTGTGTTAATAAGCATGGGGTATGTTGCCAGAATGCTGATAGACACTGACTATTTTAAAGTTTATATATTCTCCTTCAAGGCTTTCTAGTTTAATGCAGTTAAATGTTTAAATTGAGTAAATCCAGCTCAGTCCCTTGTGATTCCTTACAGGTCTGCTATCAAGGCCTTGCACCCAGGAGGATCTCTGGTTTATTCCACGTGCACTCTTTCTAAGGCAGAGAATAGTGATGTCATAACTCACATCCTTGACACTTGCAGCAATGTTCTGCCTGTGGATATAAGCACCATAGCCAAATCTGCATCCAAAGAATTCACTCTTGCTTCAGATGTCCAGCAACATGAACTTCTAATACTTCCAGAAATGGGAAGAGCATGGGGCCCAATGTACATATCTAAACTAAAGAAAGTATCCACACAGTTTCTTGTGTGATTTTTGTAAGTCATATTGACTTTCTAGGAGATAAAACCTTTAATGTTGAAAATTTAATAAGGTACTGGAGGCCAATTATCTATTTATTTAGTGATTAACTTCCATCGCATAATTTTCACTATGCAGTTTGAAAAAAACTGAGACAATTGTTTCTTCTGTGGGGTTTTAAAAATTATTTTTAAAAAGAAAAATAAATTCCTGGAACACTTCTTTAGGTATGTCATGATCCTAGACCTACAGCAGTGTGGCCTGTACTAGAGTAACTACAGGGCCTACGTTTCCCGGGCCACTTTGGATCCTGTGATTGGTTAATGAGATTTGGAGAGAAAACTTGCACCGGTACAAGAGTAGGTGGTGGTGCCTGAGAAGAAGGAATAAAAGGCCTCGCCCAAAGTGGGAAGTTGTTCACTCCTAGCGTGCAGAGCTGAGGGGAGACCGCTGCAGACAGAGGGATCCCTCATCCAGGAAGGGGTGAGTCAGCTTGAAGCCAGTCACCAAGAGACATCTAGGGATAGTCTACGCATTAGGGTTCTTTTATTTGTGTGCTTACCTATGTTTACTGTTCTTATTATTCTACAAATTATTTCCACACAGTTTCTTGTGTGATTTTTGTAAGTCATATTGACTTTCTAGGAGATAAAACCTTTAATGTTGAAAATTTAATAAGGTACTGGAGGCCAATTATCTATTTATTTAGTGATTAACTTCCATCGCATAATTTTCACTATGCAGTTTGAAAAAAACTGAGACAATTGTTTCTTCTGTGGGGTTTTAAAAATTATTTTTAAAAAGAAAAATAAATTCCTGGAACACTTCTTTAGGTATGTCATGATCCTAGACCTACAGCAGTGTGGCCTGTACTAGAGTAACTACAGGGCCTACGTTTCCCGGGCCACTTTGGATCCTGTGATTGGTTAATGAGATTTGGAGAGAAAACTTGCACCGGTACAGGAGTAGGTGGTGGTGCCTGAGAAGAAGGAATAAAAGGCCTCGCCCAAAGTGGGAAGTTGTTCACTCCTAGCGTGCAGAGCTGAGGGGAGACCGCTGCAGACAGAGGGATCCCTCATCCAGGAAGGGGTGAGTCAGCTTGAAGCCAGTCACCAAGAGACATCTAGGGATAGTCTACGCATTAGGGTTCTTTTATTTGTGTGCTTACCTATGTTTACTGTTCTTATTATTCTACAAATTATTTGAAAACCAGTTGTTACTCGATCTCTGTAATAAACTTATTTATTATTCTGCCTCACACCTCATTCAGTCACATATAAAATACACCCTACTGGAAAAGAGTGGATAAGGGGTCGGGGTGGGTGCTCTGGGCCTTCCTGAGAAGACACATACCAGAGTTGTGGCAGCCTATTGAAAGCCTCCCTAGTCATTGCTTATTTTTATTTATTTACTTGGGATTTATATCCCGCCCTACTCAAGCGGCCCAGGGCGGCGACTGGGTATCAGAGTACTTGAAGCTGATTGGCAAAGAAGAGTAGAAAGCTCTGCTACAGCAGTCAGAATCATTATGAGAGCTGTGATATAAGTAGCTGTAAATGCACTCTACCAGTTATAGCAGTACAGGTGGGATACTGTAGGTATTTGGTTTCACCACTCAGGCCCCGGTCACACGGGCAGGAAACTGCAAAGGGGAAGCGTGGCAGTTTGCCCTGGGGCAAACTAACGCGTGGTAAAGTGATCAGACCTCCCGTTGAGGTACCGTGGAGGTTCCATGGGAAGGGAGAGGTGCTGATCGCAGGACAACCCCGCGCGCAAAAAGGTGTGCGGTGCAGCAAACTGGATGTTATTTTTTTGTGTACACCACGACTACGCATGCTCCATTGGGTGCTTGTGCGCATCCACAGAGACGTGGGGGGGGAAAAACCTTTTTCGCAAGGGGACATGGGCGGGCGCCGGATGCCTCCGAAAGAGTGGATAAGGGGTCGGGGTGGGTGCTCTGGGCCTTCCTGAGAAGACACATACCAGAGTTGTGGCAGCCTATTGAGAACCTCCATAGTCATTGCTTGCGACTGGGTATCAGAGTTCTTGAAGCTGATTGGCAAAGAAGAGTAGAAAGCTCTGCTACAGCAGTCAGAATCATTATGAGAGCTGTGATATAAGTAGCTGTAAATGCACTCTACCAGTTATAGCAGTACAGGTGGGATACTGTAGATATTTGGTTTCACCACTCAGTTACTTTTAGGTGGTTCTTTATGCAAGTACCAAATAATGTTTATCTGTTTCTTTATGAAAACTGCATTTATTCCAAGAAGCTGACTTGTCTGTGTCCTGTCACATTCTGTCTTTTGGGAGCATTCCTTGAATTATACCATTTGGGTGACAAACCTGAGTACTAGGGGAGGGGGATGGTGTGTTCTTTGTAGCTGCTGAACAACTATAGAACTGCCTTCCACTCAAGATACGATTGAAATTGGGCCTGAGTGTTTCACCAGAAGTGCATTTAAAACTGTTTGGGCTAGCTTTGATGGGTTTCCTTGTTTAGGAATCATCTGTATCACATTTTGAATGCAGTGTAACCTTTTTGTTGGCTATCTAAATTTTATTGGTGTTTTGCATGATGGCTGTTTCTGGTGTGTTTTATCTTTATACAGAAGTATGCAACCATTACAGGGCGGATGATCTGATACGGAATTTGATTGTTTTGAAAACCTTTCATTTCAGATTTAGGCTTAAAGGTAAAGGTTCCCTTGCTCGAAAGCCAGTCGAATCCGACTCTAGGGTTGCGATGCTCATCTCCGTTTCAAAGCCGAAGAGCCAGCGCTGTCCAAAGACCTTTCCGTCTTTGTCATGTGGCCGGCATGACTAAACACCAAGGCGCACGGAACGCTGTTACCTTCCAACTGAAGTGGTACCTAGTTATCTACTTGCAATTTCTTGCTTTCGAACTGCTAGGTTGGCAGGAGCTGGAACTAGAGACGGGAGCTCACTCCGTCATGCAGCACACTCAGGTCTTGGAACTGCTGAACTACCGACCTTCCACAGCCTGCAGTTCAGCGTCATAACCACTTGAGCCCCTGCAGCTCCTCAAAAATTTAGGCTTAAGCATACTTAAATTCTTAAATACCATACTGTAGGCAATGCACAATCATTCTGCATAGACATGTGATAGAATCCTAGCTTTCAGTATAAGCCCTCTTGAATGTGGTAGATCTGCTTGAATACACAGTGACAGTTTAAAAATACATGAGCATAGAGGCAAGTCTTTTCATAAATGTGAAATTCCTCAGTTTTCCTCAGCCCCACTGGTGGACCTCCTGATGGCACCTGGTATTTTTGGCCACTGTGTGACAGAGTATTGGACTGGATGGGCCATTGGCCTGATCCAACATTGGCTTCTCTTATGTTCTTATGTTCTGAGTTCCAGAAGTAGTTGTTTCTTCCTTTGGAGAACAACTTCTGAAGGCTTGGTATTTTTCTGATATCTCTATGTTTACATGTGAGCATGAGAATGCACAGAAAATGCCACAACAAGCAATTCTTGCCTCCCCAAGAAAATAGCATAATCTGAGCCTTCTCCTCCCCCTTAACTCCCAGAAGCTTCCCTCTTTTTCTTTCTTAACTCTACCCTCTTTTTCTTTCACTGGCAGCATTTTTTTCAACTCCAAACATGCACTACAGGAACATGTGTCTTTGTGGGTACCCAACTTCTGCTATGCTCATTAAAGAAGCTTTCAAGCCTCAAACATAAATGAATAGTATCTTCAGCTAGTTTACCATAATTTCTCATTAGCAAGCGGGGCTGCCTTTTCCATCTCTGACGACAGCAGAGAGGTTTGTGCCGAGGCTTGGGCCGCAGTTCTATCCCTGCAGGATATTACTGGATTGACTGAGGGGCTTGGTCAGTGTGGTGTTCCAACTACAGAGTCCCAACGTGGGGATGGTCCCTCTGGTGATAGCTGGCCCTTGGAGTGGTGGACAGAGGGGCGAGTGTTAAGCCTCATGTCCGGTAAGACACTAACAATTCTGGCCGGTTTGGACTGGCCAACAGACCCCGAACAAGGACTACCGGTAGATGGCTCTGAACTAGGAAATGAAGATCCAAGACAAGGTATAGAGCCAAGATTCTCTCTAGTGAGGAGCGTGAAGGCAACTGGACTCCTCCTAATTTGCCATCCTGTGACGGCGGCTGGGATAGGGCACAGGATAACAATCCAGTGGCTAAGACAGGGAAGTGGTTCTCTAGTCCACCTGCTAGGTCTAGGTCTATATATGAAGGTTAGGCTATAGTAGTTAGTTACAATAGTTAATTGAATTGCGTCTTCCCACCCTTCATTGTTAGTTAGAATAGAATAGTTCTAATTTTGATGGGGGAGGGAGTAGCAAGAAGGGAGGTCAGGGTGGATAGGGTTGCATTAGATTGTATTCAGAGGTTTATATATTGTAATTTGATAACTAGTGAATTTGGGTTTGACTGCATCTGAGTGGCTGATCACTACCTGGCGGGTGGGTGTGGGAGGCTTAGGAGACGGGCAACCTAACATCGACTGGACAGTAGCTCAGTAGTGCCCAAGGCTAACGAGCAAAGGCCGCTGGTGGGGGGATGACCAGCCAATGGATTCCAGTGCTCCTGGGGAGGGGAAAGTATAGCGGTGGGACCAGGCAAGATTGGAAGGGAAGGGAACGGAGATGTAGAAGGACTCGGTCCCCTTCCAGCCTGCGTCCCATCCCGAAGGTAGTAGGTTGTGGGGCTAGGATTATTGACCCCTCTCCGATATTGGTGTTGTGCAATGCCAAGTCCATAAATAATAAGACCATGACCCTCCATGACTTCTTGTTGGAACAGGATCTGGACCTGGCATGCGTGACCGAGACCTGGGATGGGGAGACTGTAGCTCTCTCCCAGTTAGCTCCTCCCGGGTTCTCGGTCCTTCACCAATCCCGGACCAAGGGGCAGGGGGGAGTGGCTCTGTTCAGTCGGGAGGTTTACACCTTCAGAGCGTTTCCACTGCCGAATCTCACGGGCATAAAGTGTGCCAGCTTTGTATGGGAAGTTAGGGAGAGTTTGGCTGGTGTACCATCCACCCAATGCACTGGCTAGCAGCCTGCCATCCCTGCTGGAGACTGTATAAGGCTGGGCACTGGAGCACCCTAGACTATTAGTCTTGGGTGACTTCAATGTCCACTGAATGTCCAATGTTGACTTATAAGGCTTCAGAACAAGTGATCATGTCCATCTAAACTGACACTTAGTTTGACAGCCACAGGAACCGGAATTAACCGGTTCAGACAGGAGCTGGGCAAAGCACTGCCACAGTGACTCAGCAGGCAGCTGATTGGCTGATTACTGTGTGTGTGTGTGTGTATATATATATATATGAATGTAG